TCTCGTGCTATGTTTAAAAAATGAAATTAATTCTATACTGTATAAAATATACGAATCAAAATATAAGCGATACGAATTATTCTTCCAATGGGAAAAGTTTTCTTTCTAAATTTTTCCACAAAAGTGAAATTCGAATATTTTTAGTAGCTCCATTAATCCGAGCAATTTTCGTTCGAAATAATGATTTATACACGGAAAAAGTATGGAAAAAATACGCGTTAGCACTCAAGCTGCGAGTAGAAGACAGGTAAAATGTAAGAGTGGGGCTCGCGAGTGACAGTGGATTGCCTATGGTCAGACACATTTTGCACCCAGTACGATCAGCCGCTATACAGAATTCACCGGCAGTGACGGTAAAACCACGAATGAAGTATAAGGCTTCATTTCGAGAAAATCGATTTCGAAGTGTCGAGTACACTCGTACTTAAGTATCTCTTCCGCGCCTCTTTACACACCAGTGTTTCTTAGACTTTCTACTTCTAACATGACAATACTAACGGAAACCCCTGACGAATCGCAATAATTCTTCAAACTTAGTCATAATAAAAAATATCAAAAATAATGCGTAATTGTCCCTTTAATTTTTAATATTTTACACTTTCGCGCGACTTCTAACACGTAATTATGAATATTTTTATTTCTACAAGTGTCCTTCAATTTTTGACATTTTAAACTTTCGCGCGACTCCTAATACATATTTATGAATATTTCAATTTTTGATATTTTAAACTTTTCCGCGACTTCCATTACATAATTACGAATATTTTAATTTTCAATATTCTGAATATTTTTATTTCCACCAGTGTCTCTTTTATTCTCAATATTATGAATATTTGAATTTTCACAAATGTCCTCCAAATTTCGATATTTCAAACTTTCTCGCGACTCCTGACACCTAATTACGAATACCTGAATTACCATCAACCTTTTCTAAATTTTTCATACTTCAAACTTCGTAATTTGAAACTATCTCGGAAAGGGAACTCCGCGCGGAAAGAAATTATGTCACAATTTCGTCTGTTTTTTGCCGAAGCAAGCGCAATCTGTGCAAAGATTGGACCATCGTTATTGCTGCATCCTGTATATTCATGGAACCTTTGAAGAATACGCCGAGAAAAAAAAATTGCCTGAATTAATGGCGACTTCAAAGATACGTATAGATTTACATGCATGATTCTTGAGATACGTACTTGCACACCCTTTTACGATGGATTAAAATTTCCTCTTTTACAGGGTGGGGGAAAAAAACTTTTACGATGAATTTTAAAAAGAAATCAGGTTCTACCGTATCACGTTGCCAGAATCTTTAGCGGAGTTGTTAAGTAAATTCTGGCGTAACAAGTTTCTCTGTTATTTTTTTTTTTTCTTTTTTTAGCAACGACGGTATTAGAATGGACGTATCGCGATTTCAAAGTCACCCTTTATATACCCCTTTCATCAGCACTCCTAAAACCGCGTTCGTGTAGCCTAAGAGAGTAGGTGTTATTTGTTCGAATTGTATGAAACCGAGACTTTCGAGCAACCTCAGGTGTTTAAAACCTTCGCGATTGGAACACGTTAGAAAAGTTACTTTGCTTTTGTATTAATGACTGTGACACTTGATACCTGAATTCTTCTTAGACAATATTAAATTTCAGACATTCGTTGCTCGGGGAGAATTATTCTTCTGAAACATAAACAAACAAATGAAAATAAAACTTCTTTTTTATTTGTCTGATTTTAAGGAGAGCATAGCAAACGTGAAATTTTTAATAAACCACTTCTATTTAGACACTGATTACTTAAACACAAATGATTTATTGCTATTCAAATGGACGAGCAGGAATTTTCACGGATACAATTGGACAAGTGAGAAGGAAACAATTAAAAATTCCACTGGATCTTTTTTTAGAAAATAAAACAAAAATGATATAGATGCTTATTTTGAAATTGCCGTTTGGGAATTTTTACAGTGGTTTTGGAGGATAATTAAACAGCAGAAAGTTTTTCGTTTTCTTCTTCTCACCCTTACAATTTAAATTGAAAAATAAGATGATACTCTACACATCGTTGTGCTCGATATTTTTTCACTCCAAATCAATTAATCCAAGGATTAATGCAAGTTCAAATAATAGAATACTTCAAATAAAGGTAAATTCAAATTTCAATAATCACAACTCGTTATAACATTGAACAAAATACTTTAGTGAACTCTTGAAAGTATGTTATGAAAATAGTATTAATAAACTATGAATAACTAAATCACAAAGCTACAGAATTATCGAAGATTTATCGAAGCCTACAAAGTTCTCACGTTTGCGAAGAAGTTTCT